ACCAAAGTTATGGCATTTCCGATCAATCAGTTATATGGCAGCTATAGGATATAGTCGGCCGATCCTTATGAAATTTGGTAGGTCGGATTGATTGGCCAAAAATAAAATCCATAGAAAATCCCAACTTCCTAACTTAACAAACACCAAAGTTATGGCATTTCCGATCATTCAGTTATATAGCAGCTATAGGATATAGTCGGCCGATCCTTATGAAATTTGGTGGGTCGGATTGATTGGCCAAATATAAAACCCATAGAAAATCCCAACTTTCTAACTTTACAAACACCAAAGTTATGGCATTTCCGATCAATCAGTTATATGGCAGCTATAGGATATAGTCGGCCGATCCTTATGAAATTTGGTAGGTCGGATTGATTGGCCAAATATAAAACCCATAGAAAATCCCAACTTTCTAACTTTACAAACACCAAAGTTATGGCATTTCCGATCAATCAGTTATATGGCAGCTATAGGATATAGTCGGCCGATCCTTATGAAATTTGGTAGGTTGGATTGATTGGCCAAATATAAAACCCATAGAAAATCCCAACTTCCTAACTTTACAAACACGAAAGTTATGGCATTTCCGATCAATCAGTTATATGGCAGCTATAGGATATAGTCGGCCGATCCCGGCCGTTCCGACTTATATACTGCGTGCAAAGGAAAGAAGGGTGTGTGCAAAGTTTCAATCCGATAGCTTTAAAACTGAGAGACTAGTTTGCGTAGAAACAGACAGACGGACAGACGGACAGACGGACAGACGGACAGACGGACAGACGGACAGACGGACATGGCTATATCAACTCAGGAGGTGATCCTGATCAAGAATATATATACTTTATAGGGTCGGAGATGTCTCCTTCACTGCGTTGCACACTTTTGACCAAAATTATAATACCCTCTGCAAGGGTATAATGAAGGGCAAGAGACAAAAATGCCAAGAGAGTCGCCTAAATGGAAAATGGAAAATTACTTAAGCCATTCGAAGGCACACACCACACACCCGCGCCCCCGCCCCCGCCACCGCCCTCCTCGTTCATTCATTTGGCCCTGGGGCAACGACCATGCCCACTTTTAGTACGCCCTATTTTGCCAAGAACAGCTATACAGGCCTTCGGGGGAATATGCTGTTCTCTGTTTTCTGTTTTTTGCCCAGCTAAAAAGTACAATTAAGTTCATCTACCAAGAGCAACAACCCACGCTTCCCCCGATTTTGCGACGACATCGTTCTATTTGATCGACTTTTTTCGGTGCCATTGCTGTTGGCCCCATAAAAACAAGTCCTGTAAACGAAGCCGGCACAGGGCGGAAGGGGGCGTGGCCGGGCTGTGTAAAATGGTGTGAAAATGTCACAAACATCGATGCATTGCTTCAACCTTTACCTTGCATTTTGCACATCTTCGAAAATGGAATTGATTTTTTTTGGCTGCGGTTTTTAACTTCAAGGAATTATAAATTCTTGAAACCATAACGAAACATTTAAAAAAAAAATGAATACGACTTTAAGATAAGCCTAAAAAGTAGTAAAAAGCGTTCAAATGTCCTTCTCATCATCAATTACTCACAGCTCAGAGGTAATGCTCAATTGATACCATTGAAGTCTGTTCCTTGTGGGCGAAACTACACTATATATTGGAAATTCATTTGGACAGAGATGTCCTTAGCGAGAAAGAGGCAGGAATAGTGTGAGAGAGAGACAGGGCGATGAAGGCGGAAGCCAAGGCATTTTAATGGCAGTTTTAGTTTCACTAATCGCTTTATGATGATGACTTGACTATGCAAAAGTGTGAGAGCGTGCTAGTGAGTGTACGTGTGTACACAGAAAAAAATGCTAGAGCAAGAAGATAAGTACAGAAATCATTTTAGGAGTATTTCAAATTTTATTTGGGGTGTATTAAATTACAGCCTTAACATAGACAAAATTTGTTATCTTTTTAAATGGAAATATTTATGAAATGAAAAAGATTTCATATAGCCAAAGTTGCATTGGAAATTTATTCAATATAAAGATATTTTTAAATAATATATATAAATACAAAATATATTTCAATATGTCTTGTTATGGCACACAGACAAAATGATTGTCACCCTAAGTTATGCCTCTGTAATTCGTTTTAATGCCACAATATATTATATAACCCAATGATCTAATATTTTCTGGAAGTGCAATCGAAAGTGTGCACGTGTTGTTTGCAAGTGAGATTCGCATCTGCGATGTCCTAGTTAAAGTTTTCCATCAACGTCTTCTCGCCTGTTCCTCGCTCATGTAGTAATGGATCAAAGATGGCGGCTAATGTCTGTGTGAAAAGCGGGGCGTGGCGGGGCGGGGCGGGGCGGAAAAGCTGGTGGGAAAACGAGATGGAAAATAGATCAGAGCGTGTGTCAAAAGAAAAGCCAGGCCGAGGGCATAATTAGTGCGCCACCAGGAAATCGATATGCAACACCTAAGTTAATTAAACGGACGCCATTTGCCCACTCGAGTGTCTTTAATTTGGGAAACGACCACCAGTTGGCACCCTTTTTTTGGTAGTGAAAATGAAGGCGAAGGCAGGGAAATTCCACTCAATACGAGACAGAGCAAAAGGAGTTGACAGATTGAGTAAGTTTGGAAGGGATTATGGATTTTACTTATTCCATCTAGATATTGTTAATTGGCTCACAACATAGAAACCAATCGCTTTCCGTTAAGTATATAAAAGAAGGTTGATAAACATTTATATCATAGTTAACTATATTTTTCGCTGTGCAGAAAACTAAAGCTGTAAGGGAAAAGCAAGTGACAGATGACTGACAGCTTGGTAGTGGAATTTCCCGCCGGGCTTTTCCTTCGACTCAGAGCCAGCTTTTCTAGGGCTAATTAAAAGGACTCAGCGTGCCAGTGGGTTAACGAGTCGAGATGTCCCGGGATTTGAGTTATTTCCACTGCGGTTTTGCGGCTGCATGTGATGGGTTTTGGAGCGTTTTTCCGTGGGATTTCCCAGGGACTTTTCCTTTCCGTTCTGGCATTTCAGACGGCCTTGATTGCATTTGCATGCTCCCACGACATTCGATTTAGCGTTGATTGGCAGTCGGCAATCTATGGCAAGTAGATTATTCCGTTTGGATGTTTCTCGCATTTTCTGATCCTTTTTTAATGCCCAGCAATCCGCGTCAAAATAGCCGGAACTAATTTAATAATTCATTCAATTGTGTTCAAACGCATTGTGCTCGCATTATTGATGAGCTCAACAAATTAATCTAAAATAAATAAACTGCAGATGCAGCCATTGTACATAAATTAAATTTGTAAATCCGAATTGAGGCATTTCACCAAATAACCGGCAAAAAATGTTTATTTTAATGATTTATGTCGTATTTATGTTCATTGAAATTGTCAGTATTTAATTCTTTAATTCGCAATTTTATCATTATATTAGATAAACTTAAAACTTTCAGTCGCTTAATGTGAAATTTCAAGGGGCCATGGTATAGGTGAAATTGTCAATCCAATTTCGCAATTTCTCTTTAATTTCATCTTTTCTGTCCACGCTCAAATGGCCCACTTAAGTCGCATTAGGCATGTAGAACATGCTGCGACCAGAGAAATATGTCAATGAATGAGTTTTCGGTCTCTCGGCCACATTCAATTTTCTTCTTGGGAGACAACCCACGACCCCTGACCCCTGGGCCCATTCTTCTTCTTCTTCTTGCGCTTATGTGGGTCAATGTGGCCATGATAAAAAAGAAGTGGAAATTGGCAAACGGCAAGCCGAAAATATTGAGAAAGTTCTCGGATTGGCAATGCGAAAAATAAAACCATTAAAAAGGCAGCATAAACATGACATAAACATGCGGAATGCTCTGTTATTAGTTGGCTTCTGAGATCATGGCCAAAATGGGGGACGAAAAGCCCGAAAAGTTGCCATCTCTGACATAATGTTTATTGCCCAGAAGTCACGGGTTATTTACGAAATGGTTAACATAGCTCACGATTAAAGTGATTAGAAATGGCCATAACCCATTCCGAGTTTAATGTTTTAAAAGTCGGGCGAATGTTTAAAGCCTCGAAATATAAAATGTGTTTGTATGTAGATTCAAAAGAAAACAAAGCAATCACTTTATTTAATAAACAACTTCATAATTTATCAATCACGCAGCCAAATCAAAAGTGAAATACCAAATTTATTTGATTTAGCATGCATTTCCCCAGGCAGCAAAACTCAAACAAGGAACGCTTTTAGAATAACTAAAATAATCATAACAGATTTGAATATTCAAGTCAGCTGGCAAACAAAAAATCATTTTAGCCTTTTAGCAAATCGAAATCGCTCAGATAAATGAAAGTTTGCCCTTTTCGATTGGATAATTCCCAAAGCGGAAGCGTTTTGGGCTTTAGATGGCATATTTTCACAATGCTGCGGAAAATGCCAAAACTTTTTCACCAACAAGATTTCGTCGAGTTTGGGACATTGGAACTGCTTAGTCGCAATGAACTTGCAAATAGAGCAAAGTCCATTGGAAGAACATTACAATTACAAACTATGCAAAACTCTTTCTTCTAATTTACATTTTAGAAGATTTTTATGGGAGGAATCCCATTTACATAAACTTGGGATAACAACAATGTCGTCGAAAGTAAATACAAATAATTGTTTGGAAGCAGACGCCAAATAAGATTAGTAAATGCAAATGCCTCTGACTGATGTTTACTTAGCTTTAGCACAATGTAGGCATTGCAGCTCCATTCAAAGCTTTTATGAGCCCCTCTCATTAGCTAACATTACTATCTTTGGCATTATCTTTTTGTAAGTTCAGCTTTGCTGGCTGTGGATTTAGTTTTCCGTAGATCAGTGCAGCTCCGAACTCGAGAAGGGCAACATATATAGTGATATAGTGATCCCTGCTCTTGAATATTGAATATTATTATGGTTAATATTTTCAAGAGCATAACCTTTGTTGTTCAACTACCTCAGTGAGAAATTATAACTAAGTTACCCCTTATACCTGTATTTTTTCAGGATGAATGCAACATTTTGAGTGCTGAGCAAAGCACCATTAATTAGCTGGGGAATCCCCTCGAGAAACCACTCGCCATGGACAACAGCACGGACGTACTGTACCAGTACCGCCTCGCCCCCTCCGCCAGTCCCGAAATGGAGATGGCGCTGGGGGATCCCCGCCAGCTGCCGGGCAACCAGTCGCACCTGGGACTGGGAGTCCCGATCCCCGACTACGGAAACGAGAGCCTGGACTATGCCAACTACCAGCAAATGGTCGGCGGCTCCTGCCGCTCAGTGGACAACAACATCAGCTACTGGAACCTCACCTGCGACTCCCCCCTCGACTACGCCACACCCCTCTACGGATACTGCATGCCCTTCCTGCTAATCATCACCATCATCTCCAACTCCCTCATCGTCCTCGTTCTGAGCAAGAAGAGCATGGCCACGCCCACCAACTTTGTGCTGATGGGTGAGTCTATATAACATTTATAGGTGTGGGGAATTGATTACGCGGTTAACTATATATGCACTCACTCTATTAAATAATCACTTTTTATGGGGGACTTTAATCTTAGGGGTCTTTCTAATACGAAACCCTTTTATGGAGAGTTAGTGCTTTGACAGGATAACCAACTTGAAATCAAGGCCATTCAATTAAGGGAGGGGTAAAGTATTTTAATTTTTATACCCGTTACTCGTAGAGTAAAAGGGTATATTGTATTCGTGCAAAAGTATGTAACAGCTAGAAGGAAGCGTTTCCGACCCTATAAAGTATATATATTCTTGATCAGGGTCACTAGCCGAGTCGATATAGCCATGTCCGTCTGTCCGTCTGTCCGTCTGTCCGTCTGTCTGTCTGTCTGTCTGTCCGTATGAACGCTGAGATCTCGGAAACTATAAAAGCTAGAAGATTGGCATTTTGCATGCAGATTCTAGGAGTTCCTACGCAGCGCAAGTTTGTTTCAAAAAGGTGCCACGCCCCCTTTAACGCCCACAATCGCTTATATACGATTTTAAAAATTTAAATATTTCGGAAAAGTAAAAATGCAGTTTTATTGTGTTTATCAATACCTATCGAAATGTAGAAGAAATTTTTCAAATCGGACCATTCGTTAAAAAGTTATGCGTGATCAAAGTTTCTATCTCCATCTCCCTCGCACTCCCTTTACCTGAGTAACGGGTATCTGATAGTCGGGGCACTCGACTATAGCGTTCTCTCTTGTTTTTATACCCTTGCAGAGGGTATTATAATTTTGGTCAAAAGTGTGCAACGCAGTGAAGGAGACATCTCCGACCCTATAAAGTATATATATTCTTGATCAGGATCACCTCCTGAGTTGATATAGCCATGTCCGTCTGTCCGTCTGTCCGTCTGTCTGTCCGTCTGTCTGTCCGTCTGTCTGTTTCTACGCGAACTAGTCTCTCAGTTTTAAAGATATCGAATTGAAACTTTGCACACACCCTTCTTTCCTTTGCACGCAGTATATAAGTCGGAACGGCCGGGATCGGCCGACTATATCCTATAGCTGCCATATAACTGAACGATCGGAAATGCCATAACTTTGGTGTTTGTAAAGTTAGGAAGATGGGATTTTCTATGGGTTTTGTATTTGGCTAATCAATCCGACATGCCGAATTTCATAAGGATCGGCCGACTATATCCTATAGCTTCCATATAACTGATTGATCGGAAATGCCATAACTTTGGTGTTTGTTAAGTTAGAATGTTGGGATTTTCTATGGGTTTTATATTTGGCTAATCAATCCGACATGCCGAATTTCATAAGGATCGGCCGACTATATCCTATAGCTTCCATATAACTGATTGATCGGAAATGCCATAACTTTGGTGTTTGTTAAGTTAGAATGTTGGGATTTTCTATGGGTTTTATATTTGGCTAATCAATCCGACATGCCGAATTTCATAAGGATCGGCCGACTATATCCTATAGCTGACATATAACTGAACGATTGGAAATGTCATAACTTTGGTGTTTTTAAAGTTAGGAAGTTGGGATTTTTTATGAGTATTAAGAATGCATCATATGAATAATTTTGGAGAATATAATTTACAGAGTATTCTGCAAGGGTATATCAACTTCGGCTCCGCCCGAAGTTAGCTTTCCTTTCTTGTTTTGTATTTTTTTTTTAAATTTTTTTTCTGTATGCACAATATCTCGAGAAATATTGTGTTAATCGCAAAATGTGTTTTGTTCAAGGCGCCGCCGGAGATTGCCTGTATCTCACTCAATTTTTAATATTTTTGGATGAAAAAATTCACACATGTTGTTTAAATGTTGCCCTATCACATGCAAAAAATTTGCACCAAAATTGAGCTGAGACTATCCGTATCGCCAATAAAAATTCTTACAAAATTACCGATTTTGCGCCGAATTGCACCTTAATAAAACCCTTTGTTTCTAAACAGGCCTTAAAAGTGAACTTAAATTCCCACACTGATGTTGAATGCACTTTCGTATGCCCCCAAATGCATCCCCATGTAGTCGTTTGCATGAACTTGGCGTTATCGTGCCACATGCAAGTCACTCGACTGCCGAATTACTCGATTCAAGGACACGACTTTCGACATCGCCCCATCTTGCCCTGACTTTGGGGAACTGGGCCCATTTTGATTTTCCCCATTCAGACGCCGCCTTTATGATTATTATTTATTTTTATTCCATGTCATTTCATGCCGCGGCCTCGGCACGTCGCCCCTTTTGGCGCTTAATGTGCCAAAATGTTAAATCAGGCAGAAGTTTTGTGAGATTTCAAATAGCTGGCGATGTGCGTGCCCCTTCCATCTGCCCCCCATATGATCCCATTGCGGCTGTCCCCCTCGCCTAATGCTGAGATATTCTAATAGCGTGTGTAATGCTAATGGCTTGCCGACTGGCGATAGCAAACTCAGAGCTGACTGCAGATCATGCTAGAAATATAAAGTCCGGAGAAAAAATTAAGTCGTTTGCGCAGTCAAGTCTTGAAAAACAGGCACTTGGGGTAGGGCTTCTAAAACACATTATTAAATTAAATTAAATCGTTTGCGATTATACTTCTTTATATATATACAATTTATATAGTAGCTCTTTGAAATGCAATAATAAAATCAGTTCTCCAAAAAAATGTTTTATGGAAATATGGCTACAAAATAGCTACTTGCTCACCCCTGATAACCAAGTTAATAGTCTGCGTGCGCGGAATTCGCCGCTGATTTATGGAAACTCTAAAACTGAAAACAAAACTGAGGCTGGAAGCTGGCTGTAAGTAAGTGTAAGTGTAAGTGGCTTACACGATGGCTGAACGGCGGGAAATGCCATCGAAACATTCGATCCGCCGCCAATAAAGGCGGAGTTAAACACAAGGCTTAAATTTTAAATTATTCCTCTCGCGCGCCTTGGCTGTCAATGGGTTAAGGGCAACCTAACCGCCGCCCGGACCCCAACCACCCCCACCATCACCCCCCGCCCCCGGGTGTCAGGCGCAGGCCAAGGCTAATCGCATTCGGTTCAAATGACAGCGGACCAAACGTGAAATGAACTCTGGCCCTGCAGCAGGGGCAACCGCAACAGAAATGGCTCAAAATACACGAGCAAAGTGTGTGAAACACTGCGAATCTGACCTGTATTTCAAATGACTTCTATTTACTTTAGATATTCCTGGCACATATATGGATATCAATTACAAATAAATGTTTTCTTATACCATTACTCCCACAAATTCTGATTATAATCATATTATTTTTATATTCTAACAGAGTCATATATTATATGTGAATAGTAAATTAAATATAGGTAATATATTGTATACAATTACATCATTACCCTAAAATTTATGGTTAGATGCCCTACTTTTAAGAAATATTTTTCTATTTTTCAGAAAAGTTTTTCTTGTTTTTAGGGCCTTTTGTCTTAGATTTTAGAAAGGAACGCCCTTAATTTTAGAAAAATTTACCCTAAAATTTAAGGTGCGATGCCTTTGAAGACAAAAATAGGGCGAATTTCTTGTTTTTAGGGTTAATTTTGGTATGAGTGTATACATCGCCTTTAAATTTGTAATGATCAGATATACATGTATGATATACTTGTATGTAGTTCCAAATGATGCCAAAAATTCCTCCAAGATTCATTGTTCTCTCTGTAACCAGCCAAATGTGCAGACAGCGGGACAGCCAACGTCCAACGTCCAACGTCCAATGAGGGCACAAAGGTCAAGTCATCAGGGTGTGTCGTCAGTCAGTTAAATACATTCGCTCGGTTCAAATGTCAGAGGGCCGAGAAAAGGCAAAGGGGACAGAAGTCGATTAGTTGAAAGGCTTAGAGGACATGGACCAAATATTAGGCATATTTTGTTATTTTGTTTTTGGGCTTCTTTTTGTTAACCACCTCATGTATTTTAAAAACACATTTTTCCTTTGAAAAGACTATTAATAATAATTAATTATGTAAATAGTATTCATGTTTTTGTTCAGAATAAAGTCGATAAATCACTTATTTAAATAAATTGGAAATTTAATGAATGGCAACACAATTCCTTATTTGGATTGGCAAATGTTGGTCCACAGATGAACCCTGAACTCTAGAATCAACACTCAATTTACCCCATTTTGCAACGGAACCGTAAATAATTGATCAGCGAATCGATTATAAGCCCTGAAATCAGATTACAGATGCGACCGAAATTTGTACAGACAGCCGGGCATCAGCATTGGGATGCTGGCATCCGCACTGTCCCATCACACAATGAATTCACATTGAAAATCGCAATTGATTTGTACAAGCATTACCATAATTTCTAATTTAAACTTTCCATTTCCCCCCCTTGCCCTCTCTTTTCAGGAATGGCTATTTGCGATATGCTGACTGTTATATTTCCGGCACCGGGCCTCTGGTATATGTACACATTCGGCAATCATTATAAGCCCCTGCATCCGGTCTCCATGTGTCTGGCCTTCAGCATTTTCAATGAGGTAAGTCAACAAAGACTCCAGATATCCAGCCACCCATTGGTCACCTCCCTTTTCCACTCCGCGAAACTTTGGGGCTTTAGAAAATCATTTTTAATACGTTTGTTAGACGAATTTCAAAGCTTACCCAAAAGATTTAAAGACTTAAAATTGTTAATGTTGAAAAACTATAAATGGAAGGCAGATTGCAAGTAAAATATTTAATATAGTAGTAATGATAGTTGTAGACTGTTTTCTAATTGAGAATAAATGTATTTATGAATTGCAACGAATTAGAAAAATTATAGTCATCAAAACAAATATATTCATCAAATACGATATTATAGGTATCCAAAATGTAGTACATTTTTATCTGAAGATGGATTTTGTTATGGGGAACATTGTCAGATGTTTCTTTTTGTGTGAGGAGTGTCTTCTTCTCCTTGTGTTTTCTTGCCACAAACTAATTGCCAAGGCTGGTCGAGAAGCGGGAAAAGCGAAAAACTGTTTGTTTTGGCTTCTGGCCACGTTGGCATACCCCCCCCCCACCACTTTCCATTTGCCCCCATTTCGCCCACATTTTACCGAAAGACGCGCCGCTCATTGACCTAAATAAAATGCTCGGCTGTAACTTTGTGTCCCCGTCTCTTTCTCGGTCTCATTGCCCCTCTCTTTCCTTTGTCTCCGGCTGATGTACGATGCTTTGTTTTGGATCCCGTCGCGTTATCGTTATCGTTATCGCATTTGCTGCCACGTTACATTTTCCCCATTTTCCGTGATTTTCCCTTTTGTGTGTGTCATTTCTGTCAGCATAATGAAAGAATGAAAAACGCTGCTAGTGCCACTTGCCATTTGCCACCTGCTGCCCCTCGGAGTCCGTTGAATCGGGGGAACCCGGGGAATCCCCCACCCATCCACATCCACATTCACACTCACATCCATCCACCCATTCATTCAGCCATTCACAACACTTATTCATTCGAGAGCGTTTTTCCACCATTACCATGCAAACTCGGGCTTTCCCGCTTTCCTGTTTTCCTCGCTTTTCCTGCCCTTTGCACGTTTGCCTTGATTAATCAACATTTTCAATTTATGGCACTCGAAGGGCGTGGAATGGGGGCTTGGGGGTTGGGCTGGGTTGCTGTGGGTTGGGGGGTGTGGGGGTGGCAAAGCAAAACTGTTTACTCACTTCAATGGAGTAGTGTCAAGCTGATAAAACGCCCACCCCCTTTTGGCCATAAGCATAAGCCCGCAGCCCCTGGCAGCGCCGAAGGCATAGTGGTTCACTAAGCGGAGCAAAAGGAAGGCCAAGGGCGTTAAGTGGAATTAACCCATTTTCGCCTTAGAATTCCATTTTCCATGCACTACAAGTTTGGTTTTTAGAAGTGTGTGCAGGGTATTTCGCTTGATTACTTACTTATATATAATTAATATGAGCCACCAAAACAAATACAGAAGTATATAATTGTGCATGCTGTGAGTACTTAAATATGAAAAATCAAAAAAAATAGAAAGTAATCAAAGAAAACCCTCTAACCCTTCTGAATATTAAAACAAGTGACATTTCATTTCGCAAAGATTATTTCCATTCGGACCGATTAAACACAAGAAAACAAGTTTTCACCAGCTTTTGCACCACTGTTCTGGCTCATTGTAGCTACGTGCTGTTAGTGGACTCTCCGGGGATTTGTAGCAGCTAAATTCCATGCTGGGCTGGCTGTCTAGATGGTAGATGGTAGATGGATTCCAAGGAACGGGGGTGGAGATTGGCTGGGCCGCTTGTGGGCGGGGTGGTGGGGTTGGCAAGGTCCTTTGACTATCTCTGCGTATGACTGCCATAAAATTCAACTCACATCCAGCAGAGCGGCACTCCTCGTTTTGGTAATAACCACCAGGCGGCCATTGCAGCCTCGAAGTTGAAGATTCCGTTTCATTTCCCCAAATTTATATGCTCCGGCAGCACGTTCCCGCTCCGAATGGTGCGCATAATGGCCATGTTAATGCAAAAAGGGGGTTAACCGTTTCATTGTAAAATATCCAGTAGCCAGTCGAGTTTATCTAGCCATGTCGGTGTAATTGCAGCCCAGTCAGACACATAAACCGGATTAGGCCACAGATTGTGCATTATATGGCCAAGTCGGACGTCATTCCCATGGAGCGCCTGTTTGCCGCAGAGCCGCACTCATTACGCTCCATAAATGGAGCAGACACCTGTCCAGGTGGAACCAGCCACTGGCCAATGGCCATCCAGGTTGCTAGTTGCTAGTTACCAAAGCTCCAAGGACCAGGATTCTGCATTCCCACTGCTGGCTAATGCAGTTGAGTACATCAAATCCGATTTGGCAGACAGCCCAAGAAATGACTTTCTAGGTCCTTGGGCCGACTGGTGATTTATCGCAGACACATTGCATTGCCCGATTCCCTTGGGCATCGATGGTATTAGTATTATTACCCTTGACAAAATACAGGTATTCAATAAGTTATTCATTGAAATATGGTTCCGTAAAACACACTCCTTTAAATATACATAAATATTAAATGAATAATGTAATATTCAGGAAAATACTTATTTAAAGATGAAGGTTTTTTTTCAACCATAAAGTTCCTGTCTCAAAAACATTCTTATTTACTTTTTGCTCCCCGAAAGTATGCAAGAATCCGAACAACCGAGTAATTTCAACAATAATCTCTGCTGCTCGCACTTGCCACCACCTTCTGCTTAACACACATACATATATATACATACTACATAGCCGCATATTTTTGCTTACAGATTATGCCAGCCATGTGCCACACCATCTCCGTTTGGCTAACTCTCGCCCTCGCCGTGCAAAGGTAAGTATGCAATTAGGCCAATAAAAGTGAGACCGCCCTTAGCTGGTTTCCCACTTGAGATGTAAGTGAAAGAGCGACTGCCTGAATGACTGACTCGTCGACTTGTCAATGGCGGCAATAAATCAGTTATTGTGTGGGTAAAAATAAAATGTCAATGCCTTGAGGGGGAAAAAACAAACAAATGGCCTTACCTTGGCGCAGCCAACGCTGCGTATGAGTGATGCGTATGAGTGATGCGAGTTGTACTTTCGGCAGACAGCGAGACAATCAATCGATTGCTAGCTCATTCCCTTAACCACAGCGCATTGGTCTTTAAAGCCCAATTGTTTCAGCCACTAAACCCATAAATTGTAGCCACTAATGTGAACAATAAACTAATTTCGAATACGAATCATAAATTTCACCCTGTCTTCATAGAATACTCCCTTCAAGAGTCCCCCAAAAAAAAATTCTGGAGATGATGGGGCTGGCTGGCCTGGCTAGCGCTTTGTTCTATTAACTCATGTGTGGGATCATAAATTTTACAGCTTTGCAAATAAATTTGCAAAGTTGAGGGTTGGCTGAAGAGCGCTGAAAAAATAGTCATAAATATTTGGGCCATTATGCGACTTTGGGCTGTTTTCAAGTGGTCGAAACCGAGGGGGTGGATGGGTGACTGGGCTCCTGGCTACTGGTGACTGGGCTACTGGCTGGTTTATGCACCACCAAATAGCTAAATAATATATATATGAAAAAATGAAGGAGAAACGGGGGAACGGGGTAGAACTCTCTCTAAAATGCGTTGAAAATTGCCCGAGGACAAATAGCGCGATAAAAACATTCAGCGTTTATTGTTATTATTGTTGTTGTCGTGGCTGTTGTCAACTTATTGTATTTCAAGTGTTTTTATGGCCCTTTCAGATGGTCGGGGCAATGTGGGGAAGTGGGTCGCATAATGCTCTCGAGTGCCTCGAACTGAGTGAGTGACGCTCTCCATAAAAATTTCATACAACAAAAAGTGTATGAAATATATAGGTAGCCATGTATATTATGCGAGGCCTATTGGCATACTTTTGAAGGGGAACTTGAGTGGGGGAACGTTTAAGAAACTATAAATATTTAATGTCTTCCTTATTAGTTGTGTGATTGAAATCACTTTAAGGGCAAACATTCATCAGTTATTAATAACTGACCGGAAATCTAAGGGGTCAATCTCAGCGAAATATCAACAGCTCTGCTTTAAAGGCCATAACTTTTCTCACAGAAACCCGATTTTAAAGTGGTGTACCTTTAACAGCTTGTACTTTAATTCCCTAAAAATCCGTGTTCGAAATTTGGTTATTACCCTTTGTACGACTTTTCGTAATTTTATATTATGTAGTATGATACCCTTTTCAATTTTTCCAAAAATGGGTGTGCAGAAAAGAGCCAAAAATCTGCACTTCTAGGCCTATAACTTTTTTTACAGGCATCCGATTTCAAAGTGCCATACCTCAAAATAATTGTGGTTTAATTCTCGAAAGATCTGAGTTTTTACTTTCCTTTTTTTTTTTGGTCGATTTTTCGTCATTTTTAATGATGTTACCCCTTTCCAAATTTACGAAAAATAGGTTTGCAGAAAAGTACCATAAAACTGCACTTCTAAGCTCATAACTTTTCCTGTAGACATCCGATTTCAAAGTGGCATACCTCAAAATAATTGTGGTTTAATTCTCTAAACATCTGTGTTTTTACTTTCCTTTTTTTTTGGTCGATTTTTCGTCATTTTTAATGATGTTACCCCTTTCCAAATTTACGAAAAATAGGTTTGCAGAAAAGTACCATAAAACTGCACTTCTAAGCTCATAACTTTTCCTGTAGACATCCGATTTCAAAGTGGCATACCTCAAAATAATTGTGGTTTAATTCTCTAAACATCTGTGTTTTTACTTTCCTTTTTTTTTTTGGTCGATTTTTCGTCATTTTTAATGATGTTACCCCTTTCCAAATTTACGAAAAATAGGTTTGCAGAAAAGTACCATAAAACTGCACTTCTAAGCTCATAACTTTTCCTGTAGACATCCGATTTCAAAGTGGCATACCTCAAAATAATTGTGGTTTAATTCTCTAAACATCTGTGTTTTTACTTTCCTTTTTTTTTTTTGGTCGATTTTTCGTCATTTTTAATGATGTTACCCCTTTCCAAATTTACGAAAAATAGGTTTGCAGAAAAGTGCCAAAAAACTGCACTTCTAAGCCCATAACCTTTTCTTAGAAATCCGATTTCAAAGTGGTATTGCTCTAAAGGTTCGTGGTTTAATTTAATTAAAACTATGTTCAAAATTTGGTTTTTAAGCTGAGGCAGATTTTCTGTGTATTATATAAAATAGCCTAATAGTAAGGTTCAATAAATCTTACATCATTTTTCTTCAGCTTTAGAAATAAATTACCCATTTTTGTCTTTTAGGTCTCCCCACTTAAAGTCCATTTGCTAAAAAAATAAACTCGCATCAAAGGGTAATCCCGCTAAAAGGAATGAAAGGGATATCCTTGGCACTGTTCCTACATTCAAAATCGTTATCTATAGCACAATACGTCCATCTGCTGCAGATTCCTATAGATGATATCGGTTAGTCCTTTTCGGGAGATGTTGTTCTTGATTGATTTATTGTGTCGCTTAGTTTTCTTGGACGCGTTGAGGTTTAAGGGTTGCTTTCACAGCACTCTCCCTTTTTGGGTCCTTCCTGTTGAGACAAATTAACTAAAATGTTAAAATGACAAAGATAATAGGAGTGGAGGGGGGGGGAAAAACATAAGCCAGCCAAATGTTATTAATTTATTAATTTCGATTCCATTTAGGAGTAAACGCCTGGCAATCGTTCTTCATCCTTCTTCCTCCGTTTTTGTTGCTATTTCTGTTGCTTTCAACTTTAATGAAATCCCCGCTTGACAAAGGTTCAATGAAAGATTGATTGAAAAGCATTTTCAAGTGCCAGCGCAATGGGCGTGGCCATAATTATGCGCATAAATTAGGCCAAGACCAAGGACCTTGAGGGCGCCCACAACCCAAGCCACCCACCGGGGCCAAAGTTCGTTCGCTTTTCGGATTGGAAAACCAAGGGGCGATGGGTGGTATTTTGGCCAACTATAAAGCGGCAAACTTTTGCCCAATCCTCACAGCAAACGAATTTATTCCATGGCAGGACGACCCCTGACGAATTACTCAAATTATGAAATTACAAAGCGCCAACTTGATTAGCTTTTCAGATGGCCTTTGATTGCTTCTTCCTTGGCTTTTCCAAGGAAACGGAATGGTGGCTCAAATTAGGATTTGCCCAATTCGTTGTCACCACATTGCGATCGTAAATTCTCACCTGGGGAAATCGGTTTATCTTCCGTTGACGTTGCCCTGCCATAAAAATGTATTAGGCAAATGCAGAGAGCTCGTTACCAGGTCTTAATGCCCTGACAGGAGCGGATAAACGAGGGGAGGGGGGCCACATTAGACCAGGCAGCAGGTAATGCCAGATAATGCCAGATAAAGTCCATTGGTGTTTAATGGCTGTGAGCATTGCTCTCCGTTTGGTGGCTCCATTCGCAAACAAAACTCTGATCGGCGATTGGCATGTTTTAGAGGAGTTTTTCTTATTAAACATGTACTTTTAATTTGTATACCCTTGCGGAGAGTATTATAATTTCCTAATAAAGTATATATATATTCTTGATCAGCAAGACGAGATCGATCATGTCCCTCTGTCCGTTTCTACGCAAAATAGTCCCTCAGTTTTAAAGCTATCTGACTGAAACTTTCCCAAAAGTTGTCTTTCTATTGCAGGTAGTATATAAATTGGAACGAGCCGGATCGGGCGACTATATCATATAGCTCCCATGGGAAAAATAGGAAAAAACAATTCAAAAAAAATTATAACTTTGTTGTTTTTAAATTTTTTCTGTTGTTCTTTGGGATTTAATATTATTCAAATATTATGGAATTACACTTTTAATTAAATTAAAATCGGACAACAATATCATATGGCTGCCTTAGAAACGATGGCAACATGTAGCGCAAAATCGACATAGCTTCATTGTTTTAAGAAATATAGGCATAGAAATCGAAATGTAGTCTATTTTTAATAACTGCTTCCTTACTTGTTAGTTAATGGCTTAGTACTCATTATTTCTCCCTATGAATATTTCAATGACCTTTCTGTGGCCTATAATCCGATCTCCTGCTTAACCTACTCCGCAGGTACATCTACGTGTGCCACGCCCCCATGGCCAGGACCTGGTGCACGATGCCGCGGGTGAGGCGGTGCACGGCGTACATCGCGCTGCTGGCCTTCCTGCACCAGCTGCCCCGCTTCTTCGACAGGACGTACATTCCGCTGGAGATCGAGTGGAACGGGGCGGCGACGGAGGTGTGCCACCTGGAGACGGCGCTGTGGGTGCACGAGTACATCGGGGTGGATCTGTACTACACCAGCTACTACCTGTTCCGCGTGCTGTTCGTCCACCTGCTGCCCTGCATCATCCTGGTGACCCTGAACATCCTGCTCTTCGCGGCGATGCGGCAGGCGCAGGAGCGGCGCAAGCTGCTCTTCCGCGAGAACCGGAAGAAGGAGTGCAAGAAGCTGCGGGAGTCCAACTGCACCACCCTGATGCTGATCGTGGTGGTGTCCGTGTTCCTCCTCGCCGAGATCCCCATTGCCGTCGTCACCGCAATGCACATCGTGAGCTCCCTGATCATCGAGTTCCTCGACTACGGCCTGGCCAACATCTGCATCATGCTGACCAACTTCTTCCTGGTGGTCAGCTACCCGATCAACTTCGGCATCTACTGCGGCATGTCGCGCCAGTTCCGGGAGACCTTCAAGGAGATATTCCTCGGCCGGCTGATGGCCAAGAAGGACACCTCCACCAAGTACTCCATCGTCAACGGAGCCCGCACCTGCACCAACACCAACGAGACGGTCCTCTAGTAATTGGTGATGTTGGTGCCGCGGCGGGGCAGCAGCGACCACCGTCGCACCACCACCACCACCACCACCAGGTGCACCACCATCGCCGGCGGTGGTGCGGTGGTCATCGGTGGGGAGCCCTCCATGCAGCACCAGCATCTGGTCACCACTCAGAATCAGAGCCAGCAGCGCAGGATCAGCACGATGGACATCATCGCCGAGGAGTGGAATGTCTAGAGCTCTAAGTCCTAATGGGTAGTTATGGTTTCCTTGAATAATGTTATCATTAGTATTTTGAGGTGTCGTTTTTAATTATTTTTCCATTTTAGGTGCAGACAAATTTGAAGAGTTTTCCATTATATTCAAATATTTTGTCAGTAAAACCCATTTTGATGCCATCGATTGGCAAGAATCGATATTTTATCAAACATAGTCTAGATCCGTCGGAGTACAGTGGCCACTAGAATGGGTGTATTGACTGATTTGAATGGTTTTCCAACAACTCAGGTTGGACGTTTTTAAAAAACCACTACCTCTTAAAAGTTTTCAGTTACGGTTGATCATACTTTAGTTTGAAATTGTTACAAATTTCCACATAAATGGATTTTAAAAACAGAGCGAGGAAGAAAGGTTTCAGCTGGGATTAAAACAGACAAGAACGCTAATACATATTTCAGAGTCAGTAATTGAGAAAAATAAATAAAATCATAATGGATATTTGAAAAATAATATTAAAAAACATTCAGTCTGAATTTGGGGTGGTTTCTCATCGAGCGATATTCTTTTTCCGTAACTATAGGCAATTTGAAAATTCAAGAACATAGATATCGTAGAATAAATACAACTTGGTCATTTCCGAATTTGTCTGTTCGAGTTCAACCAATAACACACTGGTGTATCCACTTTAACTCCGTGTTTTTGCTGTGCGTTGATGTCATGTTCTCACTAAATGTTAAAGACTAAGCGTAAACATGTTATTTTCTTGGCTAAGAATCTACAGAATCTACATGATAAGTCTAAGAATGTGGGGGATTTCGAAGAAGTGATAGCTGATGAAGCTGGCGGGCGAATGCATAATTCACAATAATAAAATAATAAAATAATAGTAAGAATAAGAGAAATAAATACTTACAGGAAACTCACCAGTTACAACTACCGGAATATAAACAAAACTGAATTCAAGTAATCAATAATAATGATGATTAATGTTAGCTTTTAAGGTATTTACACAAAATTTGAAACAAGGCTTAAGTAAAAACACTTATTTTTGTGCAGCCTTTTGTGCGCCCATTTGTAAAATATTTTTGTAACTTAATCACAGTTTTTAAGTGTAGGTAGCTGTAGGATTGGAAACTCGTTTAAATTCGTAAACCTTTTGAGCCCCAGAGTTTACCGATTTAAATGACAAGGAATACATAACATAACAAATCATTCGTAACGAATTTCAACTCGATGTTATAGATCATAGGCGCATACATTTTTTTTTGTAGTCTAAGAACAGAATAAACAATTGGAATTCAATGTTGATATGTGTACAAGTGTTTTACAATTACAATTGCTGTTTCCAGTTTAAATGTTTTAAGTGTACACTAGCTAGATGACTAAGCAAAGAAGAAACTGTAGTACCACAACCCTAACTGAAACTAAACTATAATCTATAACCATAACTATAGCTGAAAGTTGTCTGTCTGAATGGAATGTGTTAACTATTTATATATATATATTTGGTGACGACAGCTTCGGATTCCGTTTCATCTGATTACGGTTTGTTTTTGTACATATATTTCGACGGTGCATCCAATAATGAATAAATAAACTAATTAAATGTCACTCAATTGCGTTTTGCCTTCGAATGTGTGTTTCCCTGAACTGGGGCACACTTTTAGATTGCTGTTTACTCGTAATTCCGGAAAGCACAGGCATTTTTATTGTGTATTCAAGGATGAGTAAGTTGGCTATTTGATTTGAACTAATACAATCGACACTGCTGCCGTCTGCGATTGCGATTGCCTGACCTCTGGCAGCCGAAGGCCTTTTGAAAAGGCTCGAAATTGGCCACTGCATCGTTGACCCTCTTCCTATCGCTGCCATGGTCATCATTGTCCTCCCGGAGCTCCACATCGGAACAGAAGAACTGGGCAAAGTTGAGGAAGAACCCCCTCTTCTGGCCCGCCGATCCACTCCGATCCCTTTTCCGATCCGATTGGGCGCTGTCGAAGAAGGCGGAGTAGGCCAGTTCCAGGCCATTCGCGTCCGAGAACTTCTCGTCGCGTCTCCCCCCGAACTTCCGGTCCAGGCAGTCCAGCTGCTGCTGGAACCTCCTGTTCCTGCCCAGCTCCCTGCGAGTGGTGTGGCTGACCTTGCCTTGCGAGTTGAAGGTCACCAAGTCGGGGCCGAAGCCGTGGGTCAGTTCGTGGCCCAGGATGAAGCCCAGGGCACTGTAGGTGAGCACCTCCGGCTGGCCGGGTGAGTAGAGGGGCGGTCCCAGGAGGGACAGGGGCACAATCAGCATGTTGCTTTCGGTCAGGTAAAAGGGCGAGGCAAAGCTGCCGAACTCGTGCACTTGCACGGGGAACAGACTGTTCCGGGAGGCCATTTTCCGAGGAGTTAGCCCAGTGATCATGGCGATTATACTGGTTTGGTCCTGCTGCGAATCGGAGTGCCTTAGGCCGGCCAAGAGATTGCCAAAGTAGTCGTCTGGGTCCATGTGCACTCCCTCGTAGTGGCCATCGATGCGTCGCTGCAGGGATCTCTGCGAACAGTTCCTGGGCAGGACACTCAGGCGCAGCACCATCCGCTCCAACTTGGAGAGCAGGAACTGCTGTGTGTGCCTCGAGAAGTTGTTCCTATTCGCACGGAGCTTCTGGCCAAAGCGCTGCTTGAGCTCCTGGAAGATGCCCTGCAGGACGGGCTCCTCCTTGAGTCGCGGATGGTTCTGCTCCATCAGCCAAACGGAGGGATGGCTCAGGATCTGTCTGGCCTGCTCGGCACACTCGGCGCGTTCAATGAGCCACGATGCAGTGGGTCCTTCGGCCAGCTTTAGCCTCAGGTGAATGTAGGTGAGCACAAAGCGGTTGGTCGTGCGGGCCAGCAGGTGGGCCAACCACCAGATGTAGCCGTAAGTGGGCTTGACCTTCGGCCAGGGCAGCATCCAGAAGGCTGGGACATCCCACGATTCCAGGTATTCATCATCCGCTCGAAAGGTCATTATCTGCAGTTCCAGCCTGCTCAACTCCCGCCAAAAAAACTCCTTATATTGATGGTCTTCACCTTCCCACAGGACATCGAACTGCTGCCGGCTCAGGGGATCCCTGTTCGTCTCATTTTGATTCCACTCCAAATCCGTGCGGGTCAGCAACTGCTTCCAGATGCTGTACATACTGTCGCCCTCCATCTCCACCAGAACCTGCAGGCGGAAGGCGGCGGTCAGGCCCACGGTCAGCTCACCATCGTCCACACTGGGCATCCCGATCAGCTTCTCCAGGATCCCCAGCGCCTGGTCCTTGGTCTGGGGTCGTCGGCAGGAGCCGTAGAAGTCCCTGATCAGCTGCACAAAGTGGGGCTCATCTTCCTGTTTGCTGAAACCAATTCAAGCCTCACTCATTTTAAACTTGGTCTTGGGGATAGTTACCCATTTTCCAGTAACTCAGCCAACTCTTTGTGATAGTTGTAGTCCAGCTGGTCCAGCAGACTCCGGTAGGGATCGTCGGCATGCAGGGCCGACCAGTTGCCGCAGACGGTGGCATAGAAATCCTGGCAGGGATTGGACATCACCAGGATGGGAAGCAGGCCCAGGGAAATGGCCACCCACCTCGGGATGAAACGCATGGCGAGAGGCGTTGCACTCAACTAAATAAACTAGAAACTCAATTAATTAAAATCAGCGGCTTATCTCCCCGGATCGAAAGCTCATCGACTGATTGTGAAGCCCGGGAATCCCTCGATGCATTTACGTTTGATTCTTATCAGGTAAGTGAAACTAATACACTAAGGTACGGTTTTAAAACATATAAAGTCCCTGCTAAGAAAATTTGGTGAAGCTAACATTAAAAGGGGCCCAGTCTTTTAGTCTCGACAGCTGATTTCAGAAGGCAGATCAAAAGGATTCTATCGAAGCAGCCCTTTAACTGCAATCTCTAATCCTTTCTCGTTAAAATAAATTACAGACGCCGAGTAAACCAATTTGATTCTACGAAAATTGTATCTGGGCTTCAACTTTTTGAATAATAAACCTTTGAGAGAAAACTATAAATAGATAAATAATATTCAATCTAGTTATGGTTAGTGTAACATTTAAATTTCATAAATTGGTGTACAGCTTAAGCATTTGCCAGTAAATTCAACAGCAATTTGTGGACTTCATAAACCCCAGAGAGTTATGAGAAAACCAGAGTTTTTCCACCCCACTCTTATTGTGATTTGGAAAAGTTGAGCGTTAAAGAACACTTTGCATTTTGCATTTGGAAAACTACAAAGTTTTCGCACGGCACACATGGAAAATGGCAGCCTTTCCGGAGCCACAAAAAGGGGTTAAGTGCGGGAAGGATCGCTGCAAATAGGGTTGCGACACTTTCTCATTTATATTTAATGCACTTTTGGCCAAAAGCGCTGCTCAGGCCGGCTAAGTGCTCAAATATTTGGTGGCAAAACTCGGTGGGGAGAGGGCGCCGGGAAAATGCCAGTGCACTTGAAAGTTTTCATCAAAGTCATGAGATTTTCGGCAACTTTTTCCCTTGTGCTGAAGGAGCTGTGGAAAGCGGGCGGACAGGGGAATCTGATCAGTATGCAAGAACCTGGAACCCGTCTCAGGTTTTTTGGATGAGATGGCAGCAATTTATTACGGGGCAACGAGTTAATATGTGTCTGGAAGGAATTTACAATTTTAAGCCTTTTTGCCGGCCCCAAAGTGTGGGCCACGCAAAATGCGGCTCAAGCCTCATTTATTTCACTCAAAATTGATTGACGCCTTCCACACAAAAACATACAGGACCCAATGATGATGGACAGGGCTACATTCACAGTGGGCCCTCTCAGTAAACCCATTGTAGAAAGGTGAACAATAGTGAACTTCTAAAGTCCATAACTTTACCAAATTTAATCTGATTTCAAAGTGACATACCTCTCCATGTTTCTCATTAGTTATTATACCCCTGCAATAAAGCTATGCGGATTTTTCGCTAATTTGGCAGCAGATCAACTCTCAAAAAGTAGTTAAAAAACGTTTAAATCTTTTTGACTAAGCATTACTATTGAATTATGGTTAATCAGTGCCTCATAGCGACTGCCCACTGTACGTGAGTATGTGTATAAGAGCTGAAATCAACACGGAGACAATGAGCGGGCAGCAGATAATCAATCAGAAAGCTGCTTATTGGCTTTTCAAAATGCGTCTAACAAAATAAATAAAAGTCATAGCGACAATGTGGCATGTTGTGCCCCATCAACCTCAGACCCCCGAATGTCTGCTTTTGGCAACAGAAAAAGGGAAAGGAAAAGGAAAAACAAGTCAAGTTCAATCCAATTTCTGAGCCCGAACATAGAGGCCTGCTGGTCCACTGGCCTGACCTAATGCCAATTTAATGCTGTTGTGGCTTATGTCTGTCCAAGTCCCCGCCTGCCCCTCATTCCTCCCTTATCCCTCCCACATCCCTCCCACATCCCTCCCACATCCCTCCCACATCCCTCCCATATCCCTTCCATATCCCTCCCATATCCGCCCTATATCCAAGCCTTATCCCCTAACCCATCCCATACATCTCCTCGACTTGAGCCCATGTGTGCCTTGGGGTAAGCTCTCCGTAATACCCGAGTATCGATGGACGCGTATAATCAAAGGCAATTACGCTTTTCAGCCACTCGCGAATTAATTATCAATACGACTTATGCACACCCGCAAAAGCAGCCATAAGCCTTTGATTAGTTCTTTGCAAAGCGGGATTTCCCCCACAAATAAATTATTATTGTAATATTTTAAGCAGAGAGCTTAGTTTTTTTGAGCTGAGCTGCATTTATTAATTTCTAATTAATAAACTCTTTTAAATATTTTTTAATCCCGGTTTAAATACATTTACGACTGAATTAAGTTTAAGATACATCTTTAGTGGTCTAAACTAAAGCTAAAAATTAATTCTAGTAAATTAATCAGTGAACTATCCTATCCCAACCCGTTTTATATCCGATGGTGACTAATCTGACTACCAAACCAGACAAATGGAAATCGTCCTGAAGTCCGACGTTCTTATGGCTGGCCTAATTTTAATCAGTCCGGAAATACTGTTGAATTGATACTTGGAACTCAGATACCAGATGTTTTTCCACCATTGAACTTCTTCAGGTTGGCCCGACTAATATTAGATCCCTAAAGACGCCACAATTTCTTTCTGGTCTCCTTGGGACTACCACCATAAGTGTTGGTTTCAATAATATCTCTTAGAAACTTAATCAAGTTCTTTCCGATCCATAAATGCTTGCAAAAGTGTAATTTATTTATTGAAACGACTGCAAAATTTGAGTTTCTTTGATTGGGAATTCAAAGTCGAGCGCTTTTGAGGCCTCAAAGTGGCTGACACTCGTCTCGTTGCCGACTAATTACGTAACCCCAATGTTTGGATACCGAAATGGCATAATTGACCGCAAATTCCAGATGCTGGCTGCCAGATGCCAAGGAAAACCGCATTTTCCAAGGTCTGCGGCACCGTGAAGTGTCGCTCGATTTGCAATTAATTGTCGTAATTTTCCGGGAACTCACCGCTTTATTCAATTTGCTAACCGCAGAAGTGCGAATAACAAACCGCGTAAATTAATGGAAACTATTCATTATACTTGGCAGTGTTAATGTTCATAATGTGGATGCATTTTCTTGGGTTAGATGCCCAAAGAATTTATGTAATTATGGCAGCAGAACAGTAAATATACTCCTGCGGTTTCTCAAAATTTCGCTGAACGCATCGCAATTTTCCCTTTAAACACGGACTCCTATTATGAAATTTGTACTTACGTCCTGAAATCAGTACTGAAGTTTCTGCCAGCTTTTTAATTTAAATAAAAGCGGCTTGTTACTGTGGTTTTTTATTTTTATTAAGGCTCTAATGAACATTTTTAAGTGGTTTGTCGGTGAATTTTTGGGTCTTTCGGGTTTTATGTTTAATTGCGGACAGTTTTTGCCATTTGTCTGTCGTTTTCGGCAGTTCGTTTTAGTTTATGTTTATGGTTGGCTCAGCTTGTAATTTCCTCTAAAGGCGACTTTAGGCAAAACAAATTCAAAATGGCCAGGGGAAAGTTTTGGCCATTATGAGCAGCGATGGCTAGGAGAAAACAAATTATCTGGATTAGGCTTGCACTTTAATTTCTTAGTTTAGAAAATGTTTTAATATAATAATAATATTAATATAAATAATATAAAATTAATATTAATATAAATAATTTATAATAATATAATATATTTATTCCAACCATTTTATTTCCCATTTTCTTTACTACTCTCTTAATGAATTAACGCGAAAACTGAACTTAATTTTCACTCTTTTCCTCCCCCATACCCCAATCAATTCTCCACTTTTCCAATTACTTATTAATTTGAACGGAGTGCAAAAACGAGCTGTTGATAGGAGCAGGTGGAGTGCAATCTTTGTCCGATAACTGCCTTTGTCATCAGTCATCCTTAAATAGTGCGGCCATGACTGTCGCCTATTCCGCTTCGGGTGTCAAGTAATGAGTCCGCACTTTTCACCTTGCCACCAAAAGTGCTGCTCCTCCGAGAAGTTCACGTGTGGCAGGCCAAGTGGCAAATTATGCCCCGCACTTTCAGGGGGTTCATAAATTAGGGACTCCATTCACGACAGCAGCACCTGGAGAAATGAATTTTAAAATGAATAAAATCTCCATTGCAATTAATTATTCGAACAAGTTTCGACATAAATATAGAGTACACTTTAATTATTGATTACTTTTATAGTTCTTTATATTCAGTACAGTGATGTCTTACATAGTTATATTATATTTTATTTTAGCTAGGAAAGCAAACCGCACTACTTTCTTACCTTAAAGACAGTGTGGGAGTGTAAGAAAGAAGATATTTAAATGGAATCCTTTTTAATTAAGGACTTACAATATTTTTTTCGATACATCAAGCTCGAGGGGGAATGTCTCCAAATATTTTGGACAACCCGAGTGGCAGTTTCGCTTACCAGGCGGTCAGTCGTTACATTCAGCCCTACATATGCGTATTTAGGATATAGTGGATGTAGTCACGAAACCGCAATCAAAGGTGTTTCTAATTTATGAATCAACGCAATTAGCTTTAATAACCTCGCCTGGTTCCAAATTAGCTGGACACATGTGGGCGTGGCCCGGCTGTTGACTCAACATTTGGCATTCATTCGCATTCATTAAGTCGAATCGAAATGACAAACGGTTTTGCCGTCGGCCAATGTTCAACAGATGTAGATGATTGTCATAAATTTCGAGACCACAAAATGAAATCGAATGGGAAAGCGAAAAGAAAACGAATGTGATGGAAAAAACACTGAATCGAGTGGGGACAAAATGAGAGAAGTTGGGGAAAGTAAATTAAATTCACAATAGTTAAATGTATTCTTAAAGTCATTTAATAGAAAACGAAAAAGGGTTAGAAAAACAGAAGCCTCCTTTTTTTTACAATGTTTCATTAGTTATTCATAAAAACTATAGGAATAAAATATTATAATTTTTTTACGTGCAGCAATATACTCAGCTTTTCCCGGCATTGGCAACCACAAGGATTTTTCATTAACCCGGAAGATGTATCCATTGTAATCGAAGCCACAGCAAAAAAGCCATGGAAACCGCAAACTGGATTTGTTTGATTTGAATTTGAATTCAACTTGATTAAGGACTTCGAGGCGTTTTAATTACAGGCCAGAGGAGTGGAAAGTTATGCAAGTGATGCTTGCGACAAGTTCGAGTTTCTGTTTTGCCAAACTTGGGCAACCGCTGCGTATGCGTAATATGTGTAATTCAATAAACTTTCCGCCCGAAATAGAAACCAAAACGCAGGCAGCAACTTGAATATGCAATTTCGGTCAATTTGGACCGGCATCTATCAATTAATTAGTGCTTCGTGAAAAGTTAGACAACGAGAATACATGGAACTCTGAACTCAATTGTAATTTGAGTTGTTGTTACTTCGGTCTCTTTGGCCAACTTCTCCATCCATTCGGCGTTGTCTGGGCAATGCCAAATAACCAAAAAGTAGGTAAAATAGGGAATAAGAAAGCAGGCTGAGAAATTACAGTGGTCATTAGTGGGGATTTTCCCAGGGCCGCCGCCAAAGGACATTGAACAGTTAATGATACCTGAAATTCCACGAAAATGTAAGCTTGGTATCGAAACGAAACGCAAAAGACATTCAAAGTTGTTGTATAAAATTACAAGGAATTCGACCTGACATTTAATGTTATTTCCCGATTCAAGAAAATCAATTTTCCCTATAAATAAATCTTTTGACGTAAAGCTTTCCCAGGAATGCAAGCTGTCATGTATTTGAAAATACTTTAGTTTTGCAGAAAGCACAGCCCATAGATCCTCTCACTTTATTGAAGCATTTAAATATTCCCAACCAAAAAAAAACGGTTTTTATATTTGGCTTGTAGTTTATTTTCAAATTTTTGCTGTAGGGGAAGTTAAAAAAAATTCAGAGATGTGGTTACATTCAAGGGTGCTTGGGAGGAGGCTGTCCTTGATCCTTAGACCGGCTTGGCGGTGGTGGTGGTGCGTGGGTTAGATCGTCGGGTGGTGGTGGTGCGGCGGGTGGTGGTGGGTCGCCGGGTGGTGGTGGTGCGGCGGGTGGTGGTGCGGCGGGTGGTGGTGCGGCGGGTGGTGGTGCGGCGGGTGGTGGTGGGTCGCCGGGTGGTGGTGCGGCGGGTGGTGCGACTCGGCACCTTGAGGCAATCCTGGGGCTTGTCGCCCAGCTGCAGCTGGCCACAGCGCCTCTTGTCGGTGCGGAGCCAGTCTGGAAGGGATTAGAAAGTGGGTTAGTTGGGCGGTCAGGCAGAGGGACCACTACTATTCGGCCATCACTCACTGTTCTTGGGTTGGCTGTGGCAATTCTGGTTGCGCAGCTGGCACTTGTTGGCCAGGACCTTGCACTGCCTGTTGTTCCTGCTCCGCACGCAGATGTGCTGGCTGGGCTGCGACCGCTTGCAGACGACGGGACGCGGAGGGCAGGGCTCGTAGCAGGGGCGGCGGTGGGCGGGGCCGTCTCCCCGCACGGTGCGGCAGTCAATGTCGCGGGTGTGCCGCACTCCCTCGGGCAGCCGAAGGACATTGGCCAGCATCAGGTGGCAGATGTTCTCGAACCGCTGGCACTCCCCCGCGGCGTCCTTCCGCAGACCCTGGGGCTGGTCCTCGAGCAGACCGCCGGGAAGAGCGGGCAGCTCCTGCTGGTGGGACGAGCGGTGGTGAGCGGCGGGCGCCTGGTGCTCGGCGGTTGGGTGGTGCCACTAACCACCGCCCATAGAAGGGCCATGCCTGCGGAAGAAAAGCGGGTAAGTATTGCGAGATATAAACTTAATAATATAATATATTTCAATAACAATGTGTCAAATTCTAAAAAAATGCATAGAATATAGTAAACTATATTTTTAGATTAATCTACAAACACAAAAACATTAGAGCCAAACTAGCGGCTAAGTTTTCAATAGTTCTAGCGAAAAGTTCTCCTTTAAAACAAAATGTTTTGAATAATTAAAGATTCCCGGACAAGGCTCACCAAAAATCAAAGTCACTTGATAGCTGCGCATTTTGCCTGATTGCTTGCTGTAAAGCTTGGAGTTGGAAGAACTTCTGATGCCATTTAAGCCAACAATCTTAACTATTTATACTACCAATCGATAACCGAAACAACTACCTGGAAGCGAAGGCGAGACAATTCTCTGCTGGCACGTGTCGTTTTGGCTTTGTTTGCATATTTAATTATTATCAAGAGCCATTGACCCGCGGTAATTGCTGTTGCTAAGCTTAAAGCAGGCGATTGGAAAAACATGTCAGCGAAATCGTCATTCTAGAATTATATTGATCGAATGAATTCATGAAATTGCTTGCAGTAATATCATAATTTCTTTCTTTCAGTTATATTTTTAATGTTTACCCCCAACATTTTGTGGTTTAAAGCCACCAAGTTGCTTAAACAGATTATCACTCATACGCCCTGTGCTCATATATGGCAAGTGATGTGTAAATCAAGGCGATAGATAAAAAATGCAAATCAGATTTTATGTTTTGCACTAAAATAAGCTGGTAGAGCAAAGTTAAACATAAGATTCCAACAATTAAACGTTTATAAACTCTACCCCATTCACAGGTGAAAACAAAACCTTCGGCAAACAAGAGAACAGATGGCGATTGCAACGTAACACCGAAAATGGGGCTAAATGCACTCGATCCGAGTTGCTATATATACTCGGCCTGGCCAGCGGAAAGGTATCAATCAACCGTCGTCCGTTGATAGCAGCACAGATCCTCCAGATCCTCCAGAGAAATCATGACCAAGTTCAGCATTTGCCTACTGCTCGTCGTCCTGGCGATCGCCTCCACCCAAGCGGATGGCGACCGTCGTCCCTGCGCCGGCCGCTGCACCGGACACCCACTGTCCAGCGGGAAGAGCGTGTGCATCCGGAACAAGGCGACCAACGTCTGCACCCGTCTGCCCGCCTGTCGCCTCCGCGAGAAGAACTGCGTGCGGCGGGACAACGGGTTGGAGCCCATCCGGGAGACCTGCATCACCCGCTGCCGCAACATCCCCGGCTCCAGTGGCGTGGGGCAGTGCGCCACCCGGCTGCGCCCCCGCCCCCAGAGCGACTCGAAGCGCGTCAGGGAGTGCCAGAGGAGGGTCTGCCACGACGACAAGAACGCCGGTTGCTGGAGGGACCAGCAGGGCGCCTGCATCCTGCAGACCCGCTGCGAGGCCCAACGGAGGAACTGCGTCCGCAACCCACTCAACCAGTGGGTGAGGGCCAGCCAGTGGAGCTGCAAGGGGAATGTCGTGGGCGGAGGCATCCGCCGCTGCCGCACCAGGCCCATCATCATCAAGGATTAGGACCCAAGCAGCAGCAGCAGCACTCTTCCCGATGAAGGACCCATCTGCCACCTGACCACAACTGGACCCATCCCGGCATTGACCCATGCTCAAGCCCACAATTTTTTTTTACCCTCTACCTTTTTTGCTTTTTTTATTTTCGTACAAATATAAATAATTCAGTTAAACTCAGATACTCTATTTTGATTGTTGATTTAATTTTTTGGAATGGCAGCCAATTTGAAATATTATAACGAATTCAAAAAACATTTGTCTGCTCTGACTTTGTCAATGATATATTTAGGAGCACAGTCAACACTAAAAGGATAATTTATAAGCCCATTTTATTTTGAGCCATATTTCGAAAAAAAATCAAGTCATTCTTTTCACTGTGGGTCTTATTTTGGCAAAGCTACAACAAAAAAACCCTTAAAAAATGTGTTTTAAATTCATGTTTTTGATGGCCAAAATCCAGAAAAAAACAGCTCGTTTTTTTAGTTTTTTAATCAAAACCCTTGGAAATAATGGTCAGATCTTGGAATGTCATACATCGTTGAATTCGCTACAAAATTTCCAATCGAATGGTATTCTCAGCTCAAAATTTGTATTTTGGGCCATATTTGGGAAAAAATCAAGTGTTACCCCTTACCAAAAATGCGAAAATCGGTCAAAAAATGAAATTTACTAAAACCTCCTGGAATCGATTGTGTAGGTTGCCAGCAACACAAAACATTCATTCTTTTCACTGTGGGTCTTATTTTGGCAAAGCTACAACAAAAAACCCCTAAAAAATTTTGTTTAAATTCATGTTTTTTATGGCCAAAATCCAGAAAAAAACAGCTCGTTTTTTCAGTTTTTTAATCAAAACCAATGGAAATAACGGTCAGATCTTGGATTGTCATACATCGTTGAATTCGCTACAAAATTTCCAATCGAATGGTATTCTCAGCTCAAAATTTGTATTTTGGGCCATATTTGGGAAAAAATCAAGTGTTACCCCTTACCAAAAATGCGAAAATCGGTCAAAAAATGAAATTTACTAAAACCTCCTGGAATCGATTGTGTAGGTTGCCAGCAACACAAAACATTCATTCTTTTCACTGTGGGTCTTATTTTGGCAAAGCTACAACAAAAAACCCCTAATAAATTTTGTTTAAATTCATGTTTTTTATGGCCAAAATCCAGAAAAAAACAGCTCGTTTTTTCAGTTTTTTAATCAAAACCCTTGGAAATAATGGTCAGATCTTGGAATGTCATACATCGTTGAATTCGCTACAAAATTTCCAATCGAATGGTATTCTCAGCTCAAAATTTGTATTTTGGGCCATATTTGGGAAAAAATCAAGTGTTACCCCTTACCAAAAATGCGAAAATCGGTCAAAAAATGAAATTTACTAAAACCTCCTGGAATCGATTGTATAGGTTATCAGCTACACAGAACAGTCATTCTTTTCACTGTGGGTCTTATTTTGGCAAAGATACAACAAAAAAACCCTTCAAAAATGTGTTTTAAATTCATGTTTTTGATGGCCAAAATCCAGAAAAAAACAGCTCGTTTTTTCAGTTTTTTAATCAAAACCAATGGAAATAACGGTCAGATCTTGGAATGTCATACATCGTTGAATTCGCTACAAAATTTCCAATCGAATGGTATTCTCAGCTCAAAATTTGTAGTTTGGGCCATATTTGGGAAAAAATCAAGTGTTACCCCTTACCAAAAATGCGAAAATCGGTCAAAAAATGAAATTTACTAAAACCTCCTGGAATCGATTGTATAGGTTATCAGCTACACAGAACAGTCATTCTTTTCGCTGTGCGTCTTATTTTGGCAAAGATACAACAAAAAAACCCTTCAAAAATGTGTTTTAAATTCATGTTTTTGATGGCCAAAATCCAGAAAAAAACAGCTCGTTTTTTCAGTTTTTTAATCAAAACCCGTGGAAATAATGGTCAGATCTTGGCATGTCATACCTCGTTGAATTCGTTACAAAATTTCCAATCGATTGGTATACTCAGCTCAAAAAGTTTATTTTGGGCCATATTTGGAAAAAAATCAAGTGTTACCCCTTACCAAAAATGCGAAAATCGGTCAAAAAATGAAATTTACTAAAACCTCCTGGAATCGATTGTATAGGTTATCAGCTACACAGAACAGTCATTCTTTTGGCTCCTCCTGGAACCGATTGTGTAGGTTGCCAGCAACACAAAACATTCATTCTTTTCACTGTGGGTCTTATTTTGGCAAAGCTACAACAAAAAACCCCTAAAAAATTTTGTTTAAATTCATGTTTTTTATGGCCAAAATCCAGAAAAAAACAGCTCGTTTTTTCAGTTTTTTAATCAAAACCCTTGGAAATAATGGTCAGATCTTGGAATGTCATACATCGTTGAATTCGCTACAAAATTTCCAATCGAATGGTATTCTCAGCTCAAAATTTGTATTTTGGGCCATATTTGGGAAAAATCAAGTGTTACCCCTTACCAAAAATGCGAAAATCGGTCAAAAAATGAAATTTACTAAAACCTCCTGGAATCGATTGTATAGGTTATCAGCTACACAGAACAGTCATTCTTTTCACTGTGGGTCTTATTTTGGCAAAGATACAACAAAAAAACCCTTCAAAAATGTGTTTTAAATTCATGTTTTTGATGGCCAAAATCCAGAAAAAAACAGCTCGTTTTTTCAGTTTTTTAATCAAAACCAATGGAAATAACGGTCAGATCTTGGAATGTCATACATCGTTGAATTCGCTACAAAATTTCCAATCGAATGGTATTCTCAGCTCAAAATTTGTAGTTTGGGCCATATTTGGGAAAAAATCAAGTGTTACCCCTTACCAAAAATGCGAAAATCGGTCAAAAAATGAAATTTACTAAAACCTCCTGGAATCGATTGTATAGGTTATCAGCTACACAGAACAGTCATTCTTTTCGCTGTGCGTCTTATTTTGGCAAAGATACAACAAAAAAACCCTTCAAAAATGTGTTTTAAATTCATGTTTTTGATGGCCAAAATCCAGAAAAAAACAGCTCGTTTTTTCAGTTTTTTAATCAAAACCCGTGGAAATAATGGTCAGATCTTGGCATGTCATACCTCGTTGAATTCGTTACAAAATTTCCAATCGATTGGTATACTCAGCTCAAAAAGTTTATTTTGGGCCATATTTGGAAAAAAATCAAGTGTTACCCCTTACCAAAAATGCGAAAATCGGTCAAAAAATGAAATTTACTAAAACCTCCTGGAATCGATTGTATAGGTTATCAGCTACACAGAACAGTCATTCTTTTGGCTGTGCGTCGTTTTTTTGCAAAGCTACAACAAAAAAACCCCTCAAAAATGTGTTTTAAATACATGTTTTTGATAGCCAAAATCCAGAAAAAACAGCTTGTTCTTTCAGTTTTTTAATCAAATGACTCATAGAATTCGTTACAAAATTTTCAATCGATTGGTATACTCAGTTCAAAAATAAAATGGCCTGATAAATTAAGAAAGCTATTACAAAAGATGAATGATCTATCAATTAGTAGGTCCCACCCACAGTAAAAGTTGTGCATAATTAGTTGTCATAAAAATCTTTATTTGAAATATATAATTTAAGAATCAATACGTCTCAATTAAAAACGAAAACACAGGAATGCGGCTGGAAGATCAGGATCAGCATTGGCAAGGAAGTTGGATTTCGCCGGGTTGCAGTGTCGTCTTCAGGATTATCAAGGACTTACCAGCCGTCGTCTCCTTTTTTTACATCTCATCAACGAAGGCGCTCATTTAGAAGTACTCATAAGTTAACTACAAATAAATTTCATATTTCCTTTACCTTATTACTAAAACAAAAATTACTATACCTAAAATTAATGGTAAATTAAGCTAATTTCTAAAACAAAAGAGTATTTTATATTTTAGTATATAGTTACCACTAGCACATAGCAATTATTTTATATACAGATTAAACCATTAAGTACTTATTATATGCATGATTTTAAATAAAAAGGATTATTTTGTATATATATAAAATATTATTTTGTTTTAATTGGGACTGTATTTTAGGGCTTTTAATCGGGAGATTTAATTTTTGGTACTTCAACTACCATTGTATTAATACAAGTTGTGTTAAATTGACCAATGCGCAAGGTTTTGAAACTATAAAATAAAGTATTTTTACTATAAAAGCGGTAATACATATATTTTGATGACGTTTGACTATCTATTTTGTGGTAAAACTTCATACGTTTTGTGGACATAAAAAGTGAACCTATACAATCGTTGATTTGGCAAATTTAATTTTTTGAGCAATACAAAACTGAAAAAAACAAGCTGTTTTTGTGGATTTTGGCCATTTAAAACATATATTTAAAACACATTTTTGAATGGTTTTTTTGTTGTAGCTTTGCCTAAATAAGACGCACAGCGAAAAGAATGACTGTTCTGTATAGCTGACAACCTACACAATCGATTCCAGGAGGTTTTAGTAAATTTCATTTTTTGACCGATTTTCGCATTTTTGGTAAGGGGTAACACTTGATTTTTTCCCAAATATGGCCCAAAATAAACTTTTTGAGCTGAGTATACCAATCGATTGGAAATTTTGTAACGAATTCAACGAGGTATGACATGCCAAGATCTGACCATTATTTCCACGGGTTTTGATTAAAAAACTGAAAAAACGAGCTATTTTTTTCTGGATTTTGGCCATCAAAAACATGAATTTAAAACACATTTTTGAAGGGTTTTTTTGTTGTATCTTTGCCAAAATAAGACCCACAGTGAAAAGAATGAATGTTTTGTGTTGCTGGCAACCTACACAATCGATTCCAGGAGGTTTTAGTAAATTTCATTTTTTGACCGATTTTCGCATTTTTGGTAAGGGGTAACACTTGATTTTTTCCCAAATATGGCCCAAAATACAAATTTTGAGCTGAGAATACCATTCGATTGGAAATTTTGTAGCGAATTCAACGATGTATGACATTCCAAGATCTGACCGTTATTTCCATTGGTTTTGATTAAAAAAACTGAAAAA